ACAGGAAGAGAAACGTCGATTACAGACTGTAGTCACAATGGATGGGGTAATACAGACTGTTACCATAGTAGAGACATTGGTGTGACGTGTAAGATGGGTGCGTAAAGTATATAATAAAAATTGGGTAAAATTCAATTTAAATGTCGAGTTTGACATGTTCCGAATTTAATGAAAAAGAACCGATGATCGAACAGCCGATGTGTGAAATTCGACCTTTAAAACTCTGGCGCACCGTCTTTATTTCTAAAGAAAAAATGAGAAAGAAAAATCCTTTCACTTTTATCCTAATTTTGAAGGCGCAGTTGGAAGGACAACACAAGAACCTACAACTACTAAACCATTGCTGACCAAACCACTGACCAGGTTAAGGAAAAATCAGATGCTTCAAATGTTATGAAACCAGTAATGTAGCACTTACCTTTTAACACCTCACATTGTGCATCTTTTTAACAGCGTCACTGAGAGGCCAACAACAAATAAGAAACAGGCACCTACAACTACTAAACCATTGCTGACCAAACCACTGACCAGGTTAAGGAAAAATCAGATGCTTCAAATGTTATGAAAGTAATGTAGCACTTACCTTTTAACACCTCACATTGTGCATCTTTTTAGCAGCGTCACTGAGAGGCCAACAACAAATAAGAAACAGGTGAGTAGTTAGGAATGGAAGTATTAAAAAAAGATAAAAAAGAGCATGACCCAGTGGCAGATCCAGGGTTTTAAAAAGGGACGCGGTTCCAAAATGGCCGCCACGCAGAAAAAGCTGGTGCAATCAGCTTCACCAAAGGGATTCCTATTTTATTGATCTACTAAGAAGCRTAAAACAAAGGGCTGGAACCGCCACTACGACCTGGTGTTATAATGTATTTGATTTACCTTGGATTATAATGATGGAAAATTCAAACCGAAAGTTTTACTTTTTTTTTCTTGACATAACATAAAGCGAACTGGAGAGCCTGGCTGCGGTAATTTTACACCGAAAGTGAATTGCTCAAAAGAAGATGATGGTAAGAAAAACATGTACATAGATATAACCAAGCTACTAAAAGATTCTATCATAATCAGTTAACCCTTCACAAGAGTCTAAAGAATCTAGATTCTTTAGGCTTTTGTCATAATTCTGATGTTCAAATATTTTGATGTCAGAATTTCGTATGCAGTTAAGAAATCTTGAGGGATTCAAGATATCTTAACTTTGATGGGTTGCTATGGCTACTAGTGGAGACAAGAGGCGATTTGTTTAGCTAGTCAGACATAGCTATATCGATTCGGTAATCAATGATTTACGAGTAAGCTGTAGAATGTATTGATAACGTACCAAAGTGGAGTAGAATGATGTGATGGTCATCGAGGCTGTAGCAGACGTTAATGGCTGTGGATAGTTGGTAAGTACTGAAACACTTTTGTTAACACATGCATTTGGAAATACGTTTTATTTTTGAAGGAAAGAAGATAAGTCCGTTTCTTTCTTCTTTTTTTCTCTCACTCGCACCCATTCGTTCTTTTATTCATTTTTCATTCATTTATTCAATCGTTTGCTTTTTTATTCACCCATCCATTTCTTATTTCGCTTTGTTTTTGCCTTCGTTTCTTTTTCCACACAGGAAGCTCATCAGTGTAAAGACAACAGTGATGAACTACTAAACCAAAAGTAATAACAATAATTAACACATATCAACACTATTTCAATGACTTACGAACATGACTGACGTTTTTTCTCTTTRTCTCAGATAATGACGTCACAACAGTTGAAATACGTCACCAAACTGTGCTCAGAATAATGCAGACAGACAGACAAACCTAAAACTAAATAAACATATTCAAATAGTTAGTTAAGTAGTCAAAAGTTAATCTTTAAATGGATATATCACTGAAGTATATAATTAGAGATGTGAATATGAATGTAAATCAACAGCTACAATTGTATGTACCAATAAGGACACATATATAGATACAAAAATAAATAAATGTAAACACCAAAGAATTTCATGCCATCTCCCCTACCCCTCCCTCCTCCATAGACATAGACTTGCACCCCCTCCCCCTCCGCCATCCATGACGAGGACTGTTCAGGACTTTCTCCCTCCCCCCTCCCCTTCACTACTGATATATGCTGATATGTAATGGTGGTGTATATTGTTCTTGTTTCTGTAAAATCTTCCCTCCCTCTCCCATAGCCACTGACTTGCACCCCCACAACGCCATCCATGACGAGGACTACTGTTCATGACTTTCTCTCCCCCTCCCYTCCCCATGACTACTGATATATGCTGATATGTAATGGTGGTGTATATTGTACCTATTCTTATCAAAATTCGCTTTCCAACGATTCCAAAGATTTGTTTCCTGTCACTAGTAGGGTTTCGGAAGAAAGCAAGATATTGGGCATTTCGACTAATATTTGTATTAAACTTCCCCTTAGGAAACATGTTCTGAAGCAAGAGAATAACGCTAGCGTTTCTATGACGACCCTGAGTAAATAATCGAGCTACTACAGGACTGTCTATCGCTTCGCCCATCAGATCATCCAGTATAATTATGTTGTTGTACTTGGTATTAATCTCATTTAAATCCTCAGAAAGCTCAGGAAGACCCCGTCCGAATCAAATCCTTTTTCCCAACGAGTCTTTTAAAGTGCTGTAACCATCTTGCCATTGATTATAGCACAATAGGATGCGGATATTTTTCTGCTCTTCAAACAAGATACGATTCTTTTCTAAAATCTGTTGGACGAAATAGATTTTACCGACTGTCTACTCTCGCTACCATAAAAAGAAGARCTCAAAAGTCTGTTTTCTAATGGWAGCCAATAGCCTGATAGCCAATAGCCGATGTCCGATCGACCCCRCATCGACCTCTCATTGATCCCACATCGACCTACAAGCATAAAAGAGACTATCCTGTCTGTAACAAGCCTAATCTTAAGTTTATGAGGTTCATTTACGTCAAGTACATAACCTTTATGGGAATGAAAGGAAAAAGTGGTTAGGAAGGGCAAGGTTCTCAGCACCACAAAACCAGCTTACTACCAGCACAGCTTACTACCAGCTTACTACCA